TACGTTATCGGTTGAAAAATCTCGTTGGGTCTCACGAGGAATTGCAGCGGATACCGAAGCGCCCGCAACCGGTGGTAATCCGTAAAAGAAAACGAAGGAACCAGGGAAAAGGATTACCACTATTCTATTGTATATCTGAGAAATCTAGATTTTTGCCTCGTTACAGAGACGAACAATTTCCTTGGACCAGAAGAGAACGAAATGGGACATCGATAAGGCGTCAAGTTCAAGAAGTTATTATAAATGATAGCGATGAAATGTTGAATCGTTTAACACAAATTACCGTGGATTTCGCATTTAAGAACCAATTCTGTTCCCAAGTGAAATATGGAGCAGATAAGGCCCATTGAGAAACCTGTGTCAACGCGAGGAGATAAGAAATAATATCGCTACCGATGAAAGAAGCTTACGACACAACCGGTTACTTAGGGGAAGAAGAAGTTTCGAGGAAACGGACCAAAGCGATTGTTTGACGTTCAGACAACCCTGAAGACCGCGACACGAGGGCTTCCGAGTCGAGTGGAAGCTTCATGGAAGTGAATCTTTCGACGGAGAGCATGGGACACGGAGAGAGACAGGGGGCGTCCGGCATGAGGCTTGATTTGGTACCAGAATAGCGATGGTGGGGATGTAGTAATTTGTCGGCTTGGGAAGGCGGCTGGCTCCAAGCTGATAACAGGGGGTGGTCCATTCTCCTCTGATTCCGCCACCTCCGTTCATCCCCGTCCTCCTCGTTTGAAACCCTTCCTCCGGCTGAACACCCAGCCACCACGTCGCAACCCTGTCTGTTCCACTTGCGAGTATGCCAACCCATGGATCCGCGTAAGACGTCCGGTCTTCCAGGCAGTGTCTCGGATGTGCACGTGGGAAAAGGCGACAGTATCAAGAGGCGCGGGACGAGACACCGGGGGATTTTCCATAATCGAGCCGTGTACTCGCCTTTCGTTTATGACTCGCGCCAACTTTCAGCCGCGATCTTACCCCAGCTTTTCTCCGAACGCCGCGCCGTGCCGCGATAAAAGTAATTCCCGCCCGGGATCCCGTAATAATGTCGGGGCTCACCGATACTGCGGGTCGATTAGCGGCAAGGAAGAGTAAGAGCGAACAACTACGACGGACGGGGCGGAGGAACTCCTTTTAATTCGACGGAACAGAGTCGACGAGGCAAGTGCCTGCGACGAATAAACGGTGCGAGTGCCGTGTAAACCGGAGCAAATAAATCGAACCTTGCGGCGTGCCACCCGCTCGTTCCATTCAAGCTTTGCCGCGCGCGTCCGAATTATTTCGATCGAAACAAATGGAGCATGTAACAAGAGTAACCTTAATTCCGGGGGAATCCACTTCGGTGGAGTTGAAATTCTTGAGCCGCCTGGCTGACGACGAACAAAGTTACCTTTCTAATCTCGTTTCGAAGCTAAAGCGACTAGACGACTTGTTCCCAAATTTATTCTACCAGAAGCACTTCTGAGCCTGCGTTTCAATCGCCTCGCCGCGGTCAGTATCCAAATACAGATCGCATATTCGACAACATTTCTTACGCGACAATTCGCCTAGCTACCGTTTCTTCTCAATTCACGGAAAAATCATTTTCTCAAGTTCTTTTTAAACTTCTGAACAATCTCTACGAACGACCCATTTAGGGTGGCAGTAACGTTGCCAACTCCGGTGCTTAATTTCTTAATAGACCGACCTTACGGCGACCTTACTTTTAAAAATTCCATGGTGCCGGACAAGGGGGTATGTAAGGTTCGGGTAACGGCGTCCGATGTAAAATTTCATAAGGGCCTCGGAAGAGCCAGTTTCAAGAAACTACGGGCCGGTTAACACCAACGAGGCTACCGAAGAGGCTCCGAGAGTTAGTATCTTTAATATGTCTGACGTATGCAGCAGTTAAATTAAAGCTCTCCGAAAGCTCTCACCTTGTTTCAGCCCCGTACGTTAACTCAGGGCTCACAGTAATATCGCATACCAAACCCCAGGGCCGCTCCCTACTTTTCCTCTTGTTTTATTCGGGCTAACTACTTCAGCCGTGCTTTCAGCCACAACAAATTTTTTTCATCACCCGCCTTTTTACCCGCCCGATAACAGCCGTGGTTCTCGTAATAAATTCTAATTAAAGAGATGTTTCTCCGGTGTTGTGTATCACAACAGGGCCAAGATAATTAAAAGGGTAGCTACCTTCGTTGATCCTTATTCATCGAATCGAACGTTCCCAGCAGAGTTAACTTTCGAAAGAATACAAAGTTACGATTTACGCCAAGTTTCCTCGTTGCCGTTCCACTGTTTCTCTTTCCGTTTATGCAACTGGGAAGCCCGAAACGAACGACATTTCACAGAGAACACCGACCAGACCCATTCCCTTTTCGCTATCGTTGTCATCGAGTTCCGCGAAACTAACTTCTCCACGTCACCACTCGCTGTCGGAACAACCACCAGCGAGCGCGCAGCAGCCGGCTGATACCCGATGCTGCTTGCTTAGACATTCGCTACTCAAATATTCCTAGGATCTACGTAGTCTTCCATGTGTTTGCCTGAATCGTGGGTATTCACGGACGCAGCGGGAAACAGGCGCTAATACTCGCGCTTAGACGTTTTACGTATACGAGCTTAAGCTGCGTTCTCACGGAACATCATTCCCCAAGGACGTCTGTAATCGCGCGAATTTAATGCATCAGCCTGTTAAACTAAACATCGGCTCACCGGAAAAATGTTAACTCGCGAGACCGATCGAACGAAATATCAGACATTAATGCCGGGTGCGGACCGACGACTGCTGTCGGATACTTGATAAAACCGCAAGTGTCCCACGTACTAATTTAATTTTCTCTTCATTTTGTGTATCACCATTAGTTACTCAATAATGAAGCGTGCGTAACACCTAATCGATCCATTAGCGCTGGAAAGAGGAAAGCTTTTCGTAACCCCAGGCACTTCAACTAACGTTTGTGGCTTCTGATTAATCAACAACTGGATTGGTATCGTATTTAAACACCAATAAACTATATACAAAGGGGCGGCTCGCGCGGCCGCAACATCAATGAAACGAATTACATTGAGGCAACTGTGTGTCGTATTGAAAAGCTGCTTTAATCGTCCGACTCACGTTTACGCTGTTGTATGCTCTCTGCTTGCGGTCAAAAGGAACGCTGGATCAGCGTCCAGTGTGAACGCGGCGTTAGGAGCGTATCGGAATAGATTTCGTAGAGGAGGCACACAGACGCGTGGGTACATGCCGATATATACCGACGAAACGCATTCTACTGACTGTCAGACCGACCCCCTGCGGGTACAGAGAGCTTTTTAGTGAACTGTCAAACTCTGCCGAACCACGAATTACTCATTCCAACGCGTGCCCCGGCGATGTAGTCCCGCAGCGGTGCCGGGTCCCGGATCAAAGACCCTACACTGTGTGTACCGTGGACGTGGATTTGGAAATATCGATCTTGGTCAGCGACACGTTCGAGAATTGGTGAACCACGCGAATGAACGAGTGAATGGACAAGATTGATTGACCGATAGATGAGGCCGGAAGAGAATACCGATCGTAGGCCAATAAGCGTCTATCCACCGATTAGAATATGTTTGGTCAACCCGATCCTGGACTTATGTTCGGTAAATGAATTCCTGTTCACAGTTAAGTCGATTGACGCTGATTGAGGTCAATCTGACTGTCAATTGATAAACCCAGTTGCAGCTTAATGAATCTTCTTCGATCGCAATCGAATTATAAGATACAGAACGATTTATCATTTTTGTTCGGTTTCATATTCAGTCCCAAATCCCAGACCGAACAGCGGCATGTCGTATTATTCACTTTTACTTGTTTCAAAGCGAGATAAGTCTTAAGGATGTATTGGCTATACAGTCAATCCCAAAAGTTTATGCACTTTAGAAACGCATATTTTAAAAAAAAATCAGACGTCGGAAGAATATTGCTAATAAT